TTCTCTCTGTTTTGCAGAGTAACTCACATGGGAGGAGAAAAACTGTAAATGTCAACTTCCCACTGTCCCTGTAACTGCCTATGTGTAAGGCTTGGGATTCTCCTGATGTCCCTAAGAAATACTAGACCTCTACTAGTGAGGAGTACAGCCTCCACTTTGGGGATTAATATTAGGTTATTATATTAGCAGTGAGTTTTAAAACTATCAATAGTGCCATTAAAAGTGCATGTCCAACACATTCTTTCATGGAGATTTCCTACAGGGAAATATTTCTGATTCAAAGCAGACAACTGACTGAGTCTCTGGGTATGTTGCTTAGCACTTAGAGAGGAGTGAGTTTCAAGATGTGGTGAGGAATATATAAGTCTTAACAATGGGTCTCAGCTGGAGGAGATGAGAACAGATGAGTGCACATAAACATCCTTTACAGGAGTTCTCAAGTGACTCCATGTCTCCAATGATGGAGATTACCACATTCTCCAATACACCAGCTCAGTTGAATCCTTTCACCTGACTATGCTGTGAATCATCCCAGGTAGATGAAGAGTTAAAAAAACTCCCACAGTAGAAAACAAAACAAGACAGTTACAAAACCAACTAAGTTGTCAGGTGGGAAAAAAAGAGTGTGAGGGCCATTGAGTTGGTAGGTAGGAGCAAATTCCTTGGCTTGGGACCTGCACAAAGCAGCTGAGAGGTTGGAGCCTGTGCAAAGCAGCTGGGAGAAGAAAGGGGAAAGAGCAATTTTGCCAGGACATTTGAATTTGTATATGAATGAACTTACCATCACCCTCAGTGCACGAAAAGGTGCCAGTTCCCCTATGCAATGAAGATTAAAGGGTCTGGCTGGTACTTCTGCAACAAAAGATTTCTCCAATCACCTTATAGAGGTGCTTGATCTAATCTCTTAATCTAGTTTAGGTTGTCTCCCTGTTTTGGATATTCTCATCTCTCTGTGCATGTTTTATACATGTGTGTAGTAAAAAACTCCATGTATTTGAAAGCTGAAATTGTGAGAATCACAATTTTCTGTTCACCCCAGCATAAAAGCCTTGTCTCACCCTTCCAATCACAATACATTCATCTCATGTTCATTCATACTGTGCAGAAGCTTTAATTGTGTGACTGCAGATTTCCTGCCCACCTCCCTTATGTTTTAACTCCATACATAAGTGCCACCACAATTTTAGTTCATTTTGCTGTGACTCTTAAGTGCTCTAGATTTGAAGCACTGTCAGTGACCTCTGTGGAAGACCTCAGTGTAGGGACCATGTGTGCACCCAGGCTAACACATCTGAAGCCTGGGTATTTGACTTGACTCTAACTTACAATGGGTGACACATATCTGTTCTGTGGATGTCTGTCCTGCACAGTTCATGGCAACACAACACACCAGCTGTGAAGGTGACCTGGAAGGTCAAAAGACTCGTGGTTTTCTTCCCCATTGTCAGGCTTGTGGAAAAGGAGACCACAGAAGCCAGAATCTTTTCATTGGCAATATTTAGAATTTGGGAGTGATCTTACAAGGATTTTGTCTCATCAGTATTTTAGCCTCTCTCAACAGGCCTCTGGGGACATGTAGCATTTTTATAGTGCTGATGCCTTGTAACTGCTGCCTTTGGCAGTCATCAGCGTACCCATACCATACTCTTGGGATTAACAAAATGCTGCTTCCCTTTTTCCTTATCTTCTTTGCCCCTCAATAAGATTATCTCACACCACCCTTTTTCCATTACACTCACCATGGAATTTTCTTTAAGTCAGGTTTTCCAGGCTGCTCAGAGCATCATCTCAGTTCCACTGTTTTAGAGTGGCTTCTGGTTCATAGTTTATGTATGCACATTCAGCAAAGTGAATTAGCCCATCTACACGTCATCTTGACAGTGGTGCTGGAATTGATTTAATTTTTTATTTCTACATTAGGGTTTTTATTTGTTATTTTTTTCCTTCTCCATTTGCCAGTGGTGCAATGTTTATTGTACAGGGGAGAAATCACTTTATTCATACTCTCTATTTTGTTTTGGATATGACTTCTACATTCCTGCAGACAGTGTAGACAATGAACATAGTCAATAGTTATCTAGTGGAAATGAGAGACTGAGAAAGTTAGGTGTGGATCCACAGTAAGTATCTATGATGTAGTTTTATGATTATTTTTAATAATAAGACGTCGCCAGAGTCCTAACATTATTAGAATTACTTCAAGACAACCAGACATCATCAACCAGACATGTAGCAATACACTTTACTGTTTTTCTTCTACAAAGGAAAAAAATCACCATTGTTCTGTGAAAACTGTGAAGATTGTGGTATGAGTGTAGTATGACTGAGGATTTACAACTGCCTTTCAGAGTCTGAATTTTGGGATAAAAACAAATAAATGAGGTAGACTGAGGGATGTGGCCAAATTAGTTCTGAGCAGTCTGTGGATGGGATGTTTCGTGAATAAGGAAATCTTCCTTAAAAAGCCCAAAAGTTGAACGTAAAACCTGCCAGGCAATCAATACACAGGGAGTTAGGCAGGAACCAGCTCTTCTGAGTATTAAGTCTTCATGTGGAGCAATTTTATTTTTTGTAATATCAAACCAGGAAATATTTAATGCCTTTTGCTGAGCTGTTCACCTGATAGCCCCAAAGATTTATTTACTGACACCAGCTGACAGGGATTAAGGGATCCAAACTATTTAACTGAGGTGCTCTGTTTCCTTGCTGAATTCCAGGTGTCAAAGACTAACCGAGGATGGACTCCTTTTGCATAGGTTATTTGATAAAAATTAATAACCCTACAAAAACCTAGAAGAAGAACTTGGGAAGAGAAGCTTTTAGCAATAGGCAGTTTATCACCTTGGACAAACAAGTTATATAATCTGAAGAGAACACAACCCCTTGGTTAGAAAACAGATTTAAGTAGTTTATTTCTGTAAACAATACTAATGACTTAAATGTAGATGTGCTTTAAGCCCCAAACTGGGATTAGGCCAGTATTGTGTGAACTGGTTTAAGAGACAGAAGAGAGATTTCTGACTGGTCAAACTGATTATGTTCTTATTTCACATGAGCAAATTAAAAAATGAGTGCAATAAAGAAAGTGAAACAATTGAAAACAGTCTATAAGTTATGGGAACATGGATCCTGAGCCCAGCTATAGTGGCTTTTTAAAAAATGCTTTCTGTTTTTAAAGAATGTATTAAAAAAATATCAAATGTTAGTATCTGCTACCCACCTAGCTTGTGTACAGTTTTACTTCCACAGTGTTATGGTATAACTTAGGGGTTTAGCACGTGTCAGAGTTGCCAGATTTTCCTGTGAAGTGACTAAAATATATAAAATGCGTTTACAATTGAGTAACTCTGCACCCACAAATGAACAGGTTGTGCTTATTTTGAACTTGTAAAAATGGAACCAGTCAACCAAATAGGTGATTTATAAAGAGAAAACGCTAGCAGAATTATTCTGTTGTGTGAAAGAAATTGGACTAGCCAGTGGGAAGAATATAATGCAGCATGGCAGGCTTTAATTTACCTCTGGAATATATCAAGAACCCTCAGCATTTCTGGATCAGAATGCATTTGCGATAAGGCTTTCCTCTTTCACCATCACTTTTCAACTAGGTATTTGCCTTAACCCAGATACTTTCCTTTAATTCTCACTGTCTAAACACACCCCTAGAGCTCTGCAATTGTAAATTATACAACCTATGGCCTTCTGACCAGCTTCACCAAAAAAGTTTTCATCTATGCATGTGGTTCTTTCAGAATTAGGTTATTTCAATCCAGATGTAATCACCAAGTTCTTTAACCTATTACTGCATGATGGATAATCTTCAAAATAATGTTTGCCATCAAAAAGGTGAAAATGTAGTACCTATTTCAAATATTGTGAAGTCTTAGATATCCTTAGATATCCTATTCATTTACTAATGAATGTTTAATTGAGAATCATGAACATTTTGCCCATTTTATTCCCCCTGTGATTGTAATGCTTTTTCTCCTTCACAAGTGTTATTATCCAAAGTATTTGCTATATTTGGGCCTACTGGAATGAATGTATACATCTACTATCTTTGTCGTAAGTGAGAATTCGTACAATTTTAAGCACTCTTGACCTGTATTTAAAGCTCAGCTAACCAGCAGAATTGTTAACTATAGTTTTGAAGTGTTTATTATTTTTGCTATTAGGTTACATGCAGCTACACTTACAAATAAAAAGAAGGCACAGTTTCAGTTCCAAACTACACAGAAATGGAGTTGCTGAAAGCCAATGGCATTGTATGCTCTTATGCCAGACTACGACTGGCTGCTCCACTGAAATACCATCCTTTTATGTAGTTTGTTCCAAGTTGTTTCTTTGGCTGATACAGGAACTAAAATAGAACTGTTTATGTAACTATTCAGATCATGGTTTTGCTTTCAAATTTGTAGGATGAAAGTGCATCAATAGATCACTTTCATAATCTCCTTTTTTTTTAATGAAAACAGTGTACAGGAGACTGAACAACTGCAAGTGAAGAGTACTAATTGTGCATTAGTTAGCTTTTAATATATCATAAATTATTGACTAATATTTCTATACTGAATTAGTGGAGCAAACTGCTGTTCTCTTAAATGAATGATTTTGTTTTTTACATAGGAACACTGAAAACATGAAGAATCATACCAGAGGTTTTAGCAAGGAGATTGTTCCACTGAATTTGACATATGGAGATTTATGGGAAGTATGTGCTTGTTTCCTTGGCACCAGTAGAGAGAACAGCCTTCCTGGTTTCAGACCCTCACATTTTAAGTTTCTGTTCCCTAGGCAGTCTCCAGTTGCACTGTGACCTGTCAGCAGGAACTCCCTGGAAGTGGAGGCATCCTTTATACTCATTGTCTCTTTGAACACTTTGCTTCCACTGAAGAGAAGGCAATGGAAGCTTGTTCTTAAGAACTTCTTCACAGTTTGTGAGATCTAAACCCACCTTGAAAAACAAAATTAAAAAAAAATTAAAGAAATTACTGCCAAACTTCTCCAATTATCTGGAATTTTATTCCATCCATATACATGCATAGTAACAACATTTGTTGAGAAATTATTTCTATCAGAAGTAGAACATTATCTTTGTGATCACCAGTTGCAGTATTGCTACTCTTATATTTAAATATATCTTATATATGAATTAGATTCATACTTGCAGCATTGAGTTTAGGGTTTTGTTTTAGACTGTGCCTTTCAAAAGATAAAACTGATTGATATGACCTCATTTCTTACAATACTGCTTCCAGTAATTTTGTTCATTCTTTATAAAGTATTGCATTTAACAGCAAAGGTTTAAAAATTGAGACAGAGATGCATCAGCGAAAGAAAATACAAGTACTATACAAGAAAGAAAATGCCATCTTCATTTAACGTACGTTTCAGATTAAGAAAGTGGACAGAAACATACTGCTACATACAAATGCAAAGCCTAATGACTAAGGTACTGTATGTGCTAAAATATAAAGTGCAAACTGAGCCCAATTGTTCAAAAAAATTGAAATTTTAAGGCGAACTTTACAGCATAGTTGAAACTTCTTTGCAAGTTATATTTTAGCATATACATATATCTGCAACAGCATATAAGAAAAAAAAATCAGGATACACAAGTGCTTTTGAAGCTATTTCTAAAATGCTTTTCTGTATTGTTTGCGACTATTTCTTTAAAATCTACTATACAGTGCAAACCATATGTGCTACACAATAACTATACAATAACATTACAAATGACTTTAATATAAAGTTTTTAAATAAAAAATAACATAACTACAGCTATGAATACTGCTGGTAAAATAAATTAATATTTTTGAAAATGGCACCAATAATACACTTTACTAATGGACTGTAATGAAATTACACCTTTAAGTCTTCAACTCAGCAATAGTGAAATCTCCTGATTGTCCAGATGTAATTCAAACAGCTTTCTTTAAACTGTATGGAACAATATGCTAAACACATGTACCAAAGGTGACTGATCGTTTCATTTGACATGTTCTGCTGCATGTGAAGAGCAATAAAACTTCTTATGAGTTATAAAGTTTGAGAGATTGTTGAACTGGATGTCACACAGTCGGCAATACTTTCCACTGGTTGGAGCCTGGGTAGAGCCATTCACACCTTTAGCTATACTAGACAACTGTTCCTCTGCTGTAGGAATTGCTGGAGAGACATTTTCATTTGTAGCTAAGGGATTCTCAGAGATCCAAGAAGGAGACTTGTGCCCATCTTCATGTGGAGGATTCTGGGAAATGTTCTCTTGCTGTGGGTTAGCAGCAGGTCTTTCCTCCTGTTTTAGTCCCCCATTAACTATTACCATGCCTCGGTTTTTCGGCAGTAGTGGAAGAGATTCTTTCTTCTGCACAGCACATCCATTCGAAGGCGCCTGGCCTTTAGGAGATTCACTTTCTGTATTTGTGCTTTGATCTAAATCAGTATTATGAATGACGAGAGAACCAGAAATGTAATCACTTGGCTTTATTCCATAATATGGAGAAAGCTGATCTGCTCCTTTAGCTTTCTTTATTGCTCCAGGGTAAAGGCATTGTGGAAGAAACAAATGTTTGTTTTCTTCTTTTGTAGCAATAAGCTGGGCCGCTTCACTAAAGACTTTCAGTCCTTGAAGTGTTGCTAAGTGTGTGGAAAATAAGTTTCCATTAGGAGAGGACTGTTTCGAGTTTCCGTTTTTCTCACATTTGATGATGCTTCTCTCATAACTGACATCTGGGCTGTTTCTTTCACTTTCTGGGTTTTGAAACACCTTACTGTCGAGTTGTCCCAGGTCACTGCGCTGATGAGCAGTGACAGGACAAAAATTCTGCTTGTGAGCCAAGTAGTTTTCTACCTTGTTGAAACTGATCTTGCATACGGTGCATTCATGGTAGTCCAGCAGCCTTTTGGGAGAAGTGGACGTCCTCTCTGATGGGGGTAAGCATTTTTTACTGAGATCTATTGGCACATCCATCTCCAAGCAAGACACGGCGGAGTGGGCAGTATCACACTTTGAAACTGGAACACACTTGTTAATAGACAGTGACGTTTCCAGATGCTTCGAGACTATTCCTGGAAAAATATCACATCGTGGGTGGTAACATTCTCCAAGGCCCTCTGTTGACTCTTGAGTAGATGTACAAGGATTGCCAAGATTAGCAACTTCTAGAAATCGCTGTTGAACTAATGGTGGCCTCTGCTCTTGCTCTGGTAAGCACATCTCATACATCTTCCTTCGCTTCCGAGTACGCATTGTTCTCTGCATGGCAGGCACTTTGTTGGAAGCAGACCTCTTCAGCGGGGGATCGTGGCGAGTGGCACAGTAATACTGCTTGTGGACCATGTAGGTCTCATGTCTGCTGAAAGTAATATTGCAAGCTTCACACGTGGTCTTGTTAGGGTCACTCTCCCCCTCTACTAAGGGAGCATTGGGATTCTTCACATCAGAAGGTTTTCCATTTATCTTCTCATCACCATTGCTTGCAGCTGACAACTTCTTAGGCTGTGCAGTAAAGTCTTTTTCATGACTTTTATTGTTTGGCCCAATCAAATCTAAAACATTGGAAGAGTTTAAGCAAGATGTCTGCAGAAGTTGATTTTCTGGATCTGATGTGTGAGGAGCTGGATTCAGGATGTTTATAGAGCTTTGACCATTACTGGGACTTACAGCTTCAGGCATTTTTTCTGGAACACTGGAAAAATCTGGTGACTTTGCCATCTGCTGCCATCGGCTGCTGCAGTAATGCTTTTTGTGTACCAAATAGTTGTCCAAATTATTGAATGTTATGTTGCATTCAAAACACGTAGCCCCTTTAGGCATCAAAGGACTGTAAATTACAGGTGGATAATTGCTACTTCCATGCCTCAGCCTTCGATGGACCAGTTCTGACATTTTGGCTAATATCTCTGAAGCCTGAGGAACCACAGTGATGTCTTGGGGAAAAGCAAACTGGGAAAGAAAAGGTCCCATTGGGAAAGAAGGACCAATATTAGGCTGAACTGGAGATGAAGCAAGTCTTGGACTGGATGGTTCGGATTTTATTTTGGTATATGAAAAACTCTGCTTATTTGTGGCAGGCTGGGTTTCTGGCCTCTGGTTTGGAAGGAAAAGTGGAGCCTTTTTTTCACATTTATCAAGTTCTGTATCAGAACTTGCATCTTTAGTCTGCATGGTCTTTTGGCTCTGGGGAACATCATTTCTGCTCAACAGGTCTGTTGCTGGCTGTAAACCTTCTTCATTTCCACTTGGAGAGTGTTCAATGTCACTTTCTCTCTGAATTTTGTTGCCAGAGACATGTAACTCTTGGTGCTGCAGTAGCTCCCTCTGAGTTTGGAAGCCAAAATGGCAGTGATTGCATCTAAAGGCAGCTTGAGTAAGATGCGAGAACAGGTGCTGATGAAAGTTAATCACTGAGTCTGCAGTATAAGTACAAACTGTGCATTTCAGACTAGCACCGGGTGGGAGAAATTCTTCCATTTTCACTCCTACAGAAAAGACAAGCAAAATACAAAATAAAGTGACCATTTCGTCCCTCATGAAGAATACTGGGAATCAGCTGCACAGAAGGTACAAATACAGTGAAAATTACTAATTTTCTTCTAATGAGATGGTATTAGTCACCCTGCAAATACTTGAATTGTTTTTTTCTCAAACTGCTAGGTTATTCCCAGATTTTGCTCTGCTTTGGAGAGCCCTAGTATTTGCATGCATTCATCAAAGCTGCAGGGAGAGAAAGAACAAGGGAAAGGATAAAAATAGACTGGTCTTATTCTAAATTAAAAAGTCTCAGAAATTACAGTTACAACTAAAGGGACACATAATGTTCCCCATACCAAATCACTGGAAATTTTGAATGCAGAGAAAGCACACTAAGGTCAAGAGCTTCAAGGTTATGATGTAGCTTGAGGTACAGCCCTCACTGTGCCTGAAATGCACAGACAAAGCAGAAATAGCATTTTGAGTATTATTGATGCTCAGTTCTGTGCTTGCATGGGTTGGCTGTAGTGTGGGAAGAGGGTACAGATCTATCCTCATCAGAAAGGACTGATGAGCTCTGTTCCTTGTGAAGGAAGAAGGAGCAGTAAGACATGGCTTCACTGACATTTTATCTTTCACATATAATGGCCGTTGGCAACTACTTCTCTGACACCTTTTCCTCATGAAATCACTACCACTTTATCAAGAACAGTACATTCAAAGACATCTTACAATCACCGATTAAACAAAACAAACATGTTTCATGGCATTTTGAAATTGAAAATGCTTTAAAAGAGATAAGACCAAATTTCTCTACTCCAACAACACGGATTCTACTTACCTTTTAGACAATAAAAACTGAAAAAATTGATAGGGATGATATTCAGAATTTAAAATGAGTATTTGTTCTGCCTACACGTACACATACACCTCAGTCAGGTGAAGTAGGTGTGTGGTAGTTGGACAATACAAAACTGTAAGAATATTGTAGCTCACTCTGTGGGCAGTCACACTGTTGTACCTGGAGGTCCTCCCTTCTTCCCTAGCATCAGTGATCCCCCAAGTTGTGAGTGACATTTGAAATTTGACCTGCTCTTGGCTTCAGAGGGAGCCAAGGAGATACACAGCACTTTAGTCAGCACTTGTTTCCCATCAGGCACTCTTTCCTCATGAGGCTTTAGCTCCTCCACTGACATGAGATGCTGCTTCACATGCTTCCCCATCGTGTGGTACAGTGACAGCAGTCTCTATGGGACTTTGCATTTCAGTCAGGGCTCTGCATTCCAGTGAAAAGTGACAGCAGTTGAAGCAAACACAGGGCTTCCAAAGATTAGAAGGCATTTGGAAAAGGAATGTTTCATTCCTACTGCAGAAGGTGTTATAACTTGTGATAATCTGTATAAAAAATAAAGACTGACAGGATAGGAAAGAGAGCAAAAATAATGGAATAGACTGGTTTGTGACTAAAAAGAAAGGGAAAGGCCTGAGGTTTAGCCTCTCTTCTAAGAAATAACTAAAGAGTCTTACTGGAAATTCACCACAATCTCAGATCTATGTCTTTCAAGGAACACAGATGTCTAGATTATACAGAGACATGGTCACTCACAGTTTATGGCTCAAAAACCTCAACACCTAAGCCAGTGGTATGTAAAAAATGAAAATAGTTGAAGCAAATCTTTTGCAAAATGACTAATATTTCAGTTTTTCCTCAGCATGGGGAGAAATTAATCTGTAATCTTCCCAGAGTATCTGGTTATAATTACCAGGCTGTAAGACACGCTGGGCTACATTCACCTGATCTTATTGAAGCTGTTGTAGCCTATGGTGCTGCTGGTTTACTGAACAGTGAAATATTTGCTAGGCAACAAACAGAAAACGGAAATAGCCTGATAAGATCTTGAAGCACAAAAAGATCTGACGTCTAAATGAATAGCTAAGGGTTTTCTGTATTGTCTACATAAGGAAGTTCTCATTCAGCAGTCTTTTAGTCATTTTTTGGGAAGTACCAAACTTCTCCGAGGCAGTATGTTCAGTATGTTGCCTTTTAGATTTGCAATTGCTACCCAAGTATCAGAGGAACATTTTTCACTTTACCAAATCCACGGAGTAGACTACGCATGCATGAGGAGTTTTTTACACTGCAGCCAAACAAGGTTTTTTTCTGTGACTAAAGCACCTATTAATGACCTTTAGACTCTGTTCATTTAACAGGAGGATCAGGAACACCTGTAGAGCCCTTGCTTCTTCCCAGAAGCAGCTCTGTAGCCAGACAGCAAACACACCAAACACTGACACTGCAGTCTTTCTTATTTGTAGGTGTTCTCTGCTACTGAAAACTCCAATGCAAAATGTCCTGCAAACTCTGAACTTGTGCTTCCAGCCCTAATTCGATTCAAAATTGGTCATCTACACCATGCTGATGTGGTGCTTAGGGACGTGGTTTAGTGGTGGACTTAATGACCTCAAAGGTCTATTCCAACCTAGACAAACCTATGATTCTTTTGTTTTTGTGATTCTAAAATACTACCCCCATTTTATAAGAAGGGAAAAAAATATTTCTATGAAACAAGAAGTTTTCTAATGAACCAAGTGGCCTGGTAAAAGCACAGAGTTCTGGACCATGATCCTTAAAGCCTTCTGCCTAAGAAGCCTCCTCTAGAGCACCAAGATATTACTAAAGAAGGATATGTTTTCTGGTTGTGGGTAAGTTTGGTAGCTGGAATCCTGCAGTAATTGATTGTGTGTGGATTCCTGATCATACCTTCACCAGTAAAGAAATGCTGCCTTTATGTGTATATACACACATTAAGAGAGAGCTGACATTCAACTGAGGATTAGTAGATAGGGCAAATGACACTGGTTTACCTGGGAGTGGTACTTGGTGTAGAACACAGGTCAGAAACTGTTGACATTTTCATATTATCTACATGCAATGCTTGCATATATTTGGAGAGACATTGATCCACTGAATAACTATAGTGAATAATTCTTCAAAAAGCTAAATCTAGAAGATGATACATGAAAATACTACTTACCACTGTGAGAATTTAGGTGCATTTCCAGAGCTCTTGCATTTGAAAAGCTTTTGGTGCACTGTGGAAAGGGGCAGACACTGGATATCTGCTGAGCACTGTCCTCACTCTCCTCTGACAGCTGTGGCCCCTCTCTTTGCCTCCCACTGCAGTAATACATGAGATGAGCCTGCAGGTTCCGCTCACTTCGGTACCAAATGCCACAGGATTTGCAAGGGAATATGTCCTCTACAAGCAAGTATAAGAGGTGCAGGTTAGCTACAGTTCACTTGGAGCCAACCAATTAACACAGCTAGATTAATTCAATTCCCTTCCCCATTAAAAAAATACTTATTTAACAAAACATTGAAAGCAAAGAAATGGGTTTATTAGAATGTCACTTGCAGATGAGAGAGTAACATAGGAGACAGTTGTTTCTTTCAAAAGGATATTTTTTTTAAAAAATTGCATAAAAAACTGCTAGAAGCTTTTGGCACATAATTATTTTTAAAAATTAAATTAAATCAAATGTTTGTTGGGAATACATAATACTAATTCAATAACTATGCTGTATTTCCAATACATTACTACTCATTAGGTGACATCTTTCAATTATTTTTCTGTGTGCACAAGACTTTCCAGCTTTGGACCTTGGAATTTTTGAGTGCAAACTGCAGATCATTCTGAAGAACATGCATTTATTACTGTAAAAACCTTTTGCTCTGATATCCAGGAGGCAAGACTGGACTACTTTTCCTTAAGATCTTATCATATGGAATGTGATATTATACTAAGCAGCATGTCTATTTCCTTGGTTCCTATTATTAATTATAGAAATTGAAATTTCTTATGCATTTTTTGTCCTCGGTATTTTTGTTTTCAGTAAATTGTTGGTTTTCCACTTTTCATTATGCACAGAGGATATTTACTAAAAATAAGGCAATTTTTCATTGTCTCCTATTCCAAAGTGTCAGCACCCTTCTGAGGAGAGACCATGCAGAGGTTGCAGAGAGTGTTTTCAGCAGCAGAAGTCGGGATTTTGATCATGCATTAGAGGGTACCTACTTTATTAATGTGAAAAATAATAATACATATGGTATATTTACACCAAGTGGACAGATATTTGTGTGTTAATACCCTGTCAAAGGACACCTACACAATATTTGTTGTGTATACACCTCAGAAAGACAAAAGATCTATTTGATCTTTCTGAAAGGTGAACCTTCCATCCTATCAGTAAGAATAAGAAGAAATCCCTGCTCTTTTGGGGCACATCTACACTAGTAAATTAAACTGTGACAGGATCCACAGTTCAACACTGGAACTTGTTTGTATTGCTAAATCATGAGAACAGTCCCTTCTATGCCTTAGCTTAAGTCAATGAACACTATTCCCATTCATGAATAGATTTCAGGAATTATCTTAGGCATAGGACCATTCTCTGCATCTGGTCTGGACACCCCTCGACTAAGAGACTAAGAGAAGATAAAATTATGGGTAACTCCAGACTCTGACAGCTGACCTCAGGATCAGGCAATTGCAGTCAACATCAAAACACATCGTGATCAACATCAAAACTCCCTCTGACTTCAGAATGCAAAGAGCTGCTGGGGACTGTAATTAACTTAGTTTTGAAGAATGGCTCACTGCTCTGAAAACATGGCATGTGTAGCTGATGACGTAATTCATTATCATTCATGACAATTTATGTTTAATTTCAAATATTGATATGTATAGGACAACTGCTCTGTTTCAATTCCTTTGGGTGAACAATGTTGAAGACTCCAACCCATTGACATGGATGAGTCTTTTATTTGCTAAATATTTACAAATGCAGCCAAAATTTACATTGCTTAGTTTGCTTCTCTGATTGCAATGCTAATGCTTGTCTATTTTTCTGCTCATGAATTTGCAAAAAATATTTATACCACTACCAATTTCTATATTTCCTTTTACCACTGAATAATTGTGCATGGATTTCAGACACAATCATTTAATGGAGCAGTTAGTATTCAACATACACCACTATTAAAACATCACTGATAAAGCTTGCATCATTTGAAATGTCCACCTCACTTTAACAGTGACATTTCAACATTTGGTTTTGGTCTCAAATGGTTTAAAAAAGTTGAACTGTTGAGGTTTTCACAGACAAGAAAGTCCAAAAGTACTAATAAGAAATTCTGATATGGGCAACATGTCCTATTTGAATTCATTTTACTGCATTCCATCACAAAATTGAACTTTCTGATTATCTTAATGAATTTGACTTCCAGCCATCTTTATTTCCTATGGGTTAGATGACCTGGACAGTCTGTAGCTGCAGTTATGCACAGTGGCTATGTGATTCCCATTACATGCCAAGCAGAGGAAATGCATTTGAGGAGTTTTGCATGATGAGAGAATGGAATTTCAGGGAGAACAATATATAGGAATGGGATCTGAAACTATTACTACTCTAAAGTGATACAAAATAGATAAAGGTTGCTTGAAGCTAATGTTTTAATTACTTAAAACCAAAATACTGCAATTTATTTCAATGGATACTTTCATATAATGAAACACTCAGCCTCAAGCTGAATGAGCCAAAGGTGATATTCTAATTTTGTTTTTCCAACTATAAAATGTTAGGAAACATAAAAATCCCCCCCAAAAATCCCCCAAACAACCTACAAAAGCAATTTTTTTTCAGATATCTAGAAAAAGAATGCTTAAGAGATGGCACATTACAAATCTAGAGGTTCATCCAGCTTATTGCTTGACTTCTTGTTCAAGAATTTAATGAAGAAACTGAATTTTTCCAATTCAACAATGAAATGTGAAAATAGCCCCTTATGACCAGATGCAGAGTAGGGACTGATGTAGAAAGTTGTGAGCAGTAAGACTTGATATTTTAGCACCTCCCTGGAGCCAAAAAGATGTTTCCAGAATTGTGATGTTGTAGAAATCTGACTACTTTACCAAAGCCCAGAGTTTCCCTCTTAGATTTATACAAGAATATGATCTCAGCTGAAACAAACTGCCCTTTAGGCAAGGCAACCAACCCCCTGCAGCAGCTCCCTTTCAGCTGTTGGCTATAAACACAGGCCTCCCTAAATAGTGGTAACTTCGTGGTATTTTAGGTGCTTCTGACACCTTGTTTTGGAAAGGTCCTGTGCAATCCCAATTGCTGATTCTGTGAGCAGGTCAGCTCAGAACTGCCCCACTGGTGGGGTAGAAATGAATCTGCTCAGCTAAAGGGCATGAGGCTTCTCCAACTCACTCTTGGAAGAGAAGACTTGGATGATATGGGCATTTGAAGGCTTATCTTTCAAAATAGGCTAACAATAAATATGTAGCTAACAAAATTGCTTACCAGAAAATAAGCAATTAAAAAGAAAAAAGAAACTGAAAGGAAAAGATAGAATGAAATGTATTACCAGAGATATTTTAACTAGTCCTGTGTGAAGAGCTTGAAGTTGTTGTGACTGTTAAAGACTCAGTGTTATTATCTGTCAGTCTGAGTTGCAGATCACGTGCTTGCATGTGCACCTGAAATACTGCATTCAGTAGTTCCTTATAACTAATTATAATAGTTAGAAACCATAGGAAGCTCGATTAAGTGCTCCAGCATGGGGTCTACTGGACAGGCTTGCAAAGTGCTGAGAGTTAAGAATGTGCAATCTAAGTCTAAGTGATGACTGGTGAGGATCATGGAAAAGGCCAGTATATTTGAAAAGTACTTAGAAAGGAGAGTGAGGAACTAAGGCTGTATAAAGGCAAACAGCAGTAATAAGCAAAAGTTAAAGGTATACAATTTAATTTGAGCTGAATTTTTCCAGTTCAGGAACACTCATGTCCCTCCTCTCTAAGGACAGCATTTGAATGCATGCTGCATTTTGTCCATGATAGAGCCCATTGATGACCAGAAGATATAAAAACATTCTTGGTTAACCACATTGAGTGGAGATGCTACAATTAGTCAGGCTGCTATAAGCCATGATTTCCACTGCATTTTGAAACAGTCACTGAAAGGATGTGTTTCTTTTCTTTTTCTGAGTATCATGAATTATTACCAGAAACTGCAGTGGTAAGCAACAAGCTTACTTGATCAGAGGCTGGTGAGAGTTAGCCGATCTATCTCATCTACTTTTTTAACAGTTTCTAATCCTATTGCCTCTGGGAACAGATCACAGAACCTCCACACGAGGGCAGGTCAGGTACTCTGGGTGAGGCTCTCGACAGACTCCTCTTGCTGCTCTCTTTATCTCTGAGATGATGGGGGAGCAAAAGCAGGCTTTGAGCTGTGGTGTGCTTTCTGTGGTCATGAATTCACCATTGCTGCATTAGCGCTTCACATGTGCTTTAAAGTACTGCTGTTTTAAAAATCCGCCAGAGAATAGAATTCCTCACTTACTGTTCACAATAGCTGTAGGCAAAATAGATGCCATGGCAGCTTGCTGCGGGAGCAGCTGTATGGAGTCCAGCAGGCGGGCGGGGTACATGCCTTCTGTCAGAGTCATCTGACTGGCAGCTTGCAGCCTAGAGTCGAAATCCACAACAAAGGCAACCAGCTCCTCACCCTCTGAGATGGCCTTGGTCGTGGTACACCAAAGCTGCCCTCCTGTAGGAAACATAAAACCAGAAAGATTTAATTGGCAATATCGAATTCCAGAATGTAAAACATCAGTGCTATCTTCACACTTTTATTTTTTTTTATTTCAATGGCTTATTTAAGGTTAAGAGGCATAGTTTTTACTTTTCCTATCTTCCTTCTACCAACATAGGAATTTTCATGTATAAGAAAAACAATTTGGGGATAGTTTTCCTAACTATTTACAGCATAAATAATAATTTTATTTTTTCATTTTTGTCTCCTAAAAAGCCAGTATTAAGAAAATCAAGATATAGGTGAAAATAACTTACACAGTACATTCCTCTTTATTATTTTCACCAAAGTTCCAGTAAACTTTTTCTTAACTCCAAGTTTGTTTTATTTTGAATAGAAAATCACAGCTCAATAAAACCAAACAGCTGCAAGAAAGAAATCAGATTTCCTCTTAAGGGCGTTCTTCCCCTCCCTTATGTTTGTCACCCTCTTTCTCTAAAAAATCTTCCCTTATGTAATATTCTTCGTAACATGTCTGCTTTATCTCTGCTTACACTGACTGAACTTCCTGAAAAGAAGATATGCCAAAGATCTGTTTCATAAAGGCTTATTCAAATAAAGGTTTGTTTAAAAGGGGGGGGAAGGGGAGGGAAGTGGAAGAACTTTCATCAAACAGTAAGATACACTATAGCTCTGTGCTGCAAATGTCACGTGTAGTGCATTAAAAAGAAAATTAACTATGCGAGTACATCTACTAATGTATTTGAATGCGATAGTGAATGCTCATTTATTTAACATGTTTAGACAGGCAAAGCACTTATATTGTGTTATCTACACTCTCAGGCCTAGATACATATCCAATACAGTTATGCCTGAAATAATGTTGCATACTTTATATGTTATAAAGCTTTTTTTTTTTTCCTCAGGTTTTGTATATATAGAGAAAGCTATACGTCGCATTCATTAGGCAAGCAAAAACTGTACTCGTTTTGATAAGTAATATTGCTGTGTTTATCTTTCGGCATAACTGCCTTTTCAACTGCACTTCATTTTTTTCCCTTCAACGAGATTATAGTTTTAAAACAACTTGTTGCAAAAATCTGGTAGAGGAGATAACAACAGTGTATGATATGCCACAGCTAAATGGAAGAATTAGGACATTGTTTTAGAGAAATCTTGGACAATTAATTAAACCAGTCTATTAGCTTTCAAAGATGAGCAAACAAAACAGCATCAGTGACAGAGTATTTCAGTGGCAAAATACGCTAAGCTTCCAGACCTCAAAGTGGTGTAGAAGTTTCAAAGCAGAAAAGTGTCTTTGTATTCACCCTTCGGTAATACAGCAGCTGAAGATGCTACAAAGTTTACAAACAATTTACTGAGAGGGGACCAAAGTATATCAAGGTTTACTAGTCTCTGATATTACAACATTACATGGTGCAAATCTGAGTAATTTCCTCTAGAGAATAGGAAGATGAAAAGTGAAGACAGTACCAAAAATTTCTACAGATGCAGAATCCTAATGCCTGAGAAGGAAATCAAAAATTTGAAGAGCACGATCTAATATATTGCCTGCTATGACTAGTAAATATACAGAAGCCTTCAGAGTTAAACTGGGATAAAACTCCTTCCAGAGAGAAACAGGCTAAATTCCTAAAGTGTACTTAACTAGTCTTGTACATGAAAATACATAGAACACACACTGCAATTTGAGAACCTGAAATTGGGTACTTTTGCTGCAAACATCACACAGTTAATTTCTATTATTAACATGCAATTCTATCTTATTTATATACAGAATATATACCTACATATTTTAGTATATTTTAATGCAGAATAAGAATTGTTTCTAGACTTTATTATTCACTAGATCTCTTAATAAAAATGAGTCACTGCAGAATAACCAACAGAGACTTTCTCTATCCCAGCAAACATCTTGACATGCTGTGTGTACCCTTGGGGGAGAAAAAACAGTGATTACTGGGTCTCCAGCTGCAATCAGTCTGGATCAGCTAAAAGGCTGAGTCAGGCTCCTGGTGTTGCAGCTCCTCAGGGCGTTGACTCATGTCCAGCAGCAGATTAAACTCGGACAGCTGAAGGGAGCAGTGACCCCGGCTGCCTGCTCCACCCAGCTCCTGCAAACTGTCACACCTACGGCAGGCACAGCCTGGTGGGGTGTGTGACAGCTTTGGAAGCACAACAGTTTGTAGTTTGGCTTAATAAAGAAAATCAGAACTAGGGAAGTTAAATCCATTCCTGCATATGAATGCAAACCTTCAGCTCAGCAGGATTCAGATCCAAGAAGGAAATTGCTATTTTGTTTTCTCTCATCCCAGTCTATAGAAAATGAGGCATTTAAGTAATCATGACATACACATCCACGATTTCATCAGAATACGATATTGTATTAAGTTAAATCCCCAGACGAACTCCCAAAGGATGCATTCTTCCAGCTACTGGAAATGCAGCTCAGCACCTTTGCAGCAGCAGTCACTCATTGGGGCAGGACATGGTGAAGTTCCCACTTGTCCCCTTCTATGCTTGCCTGCACAGAGCAAGGCAAGGACTTCTGTTTGGAAAGACGCAAACGACTTTCTTCCCCTAAACGCAGTGAGTACAAACGTGCCGACCTTAATGCATAGTGGGAAGACTGGAAGAGAAGTCTTCTTGAGCCTTCTACCGCACAGTCAAGCTAAGAGCACAAGTCAGTCAAGAGTGACAAAAAAAGTACTCTCAAGTGCAGAGAACCCGACAGAGGCTTCCAAATTTAATAGGAAGTTCCAATCGTGACTATCATATGAATTACTATGCTGTCTAGACAACTCTGGCAGGGATAAGGGCTTCCTTACAGGTGGCAGCTAAAAATCAGGAAAAAATTTCTTCCCACAAACATTTCTACAGGCTAAGACATAACTGACATATATACAGCAGTCTCTCGTGAGCACAACAGCTTCTCATTAAGCACAGAGCAGTGTTAACGACAGGTTTTCAAAGGGATAATACGGAAGCCATAGCCAAGTACCAGGGGAGATTAGAAGGAGATAGGAAGATGTTTGTATGAAATATTTGCAAAGACATAAAGATTTCATAAAGAAATGTGAAGGACTATTATTTATATGAGATGAGGTTCTGATTAAACTGGTTAGATTTTTTTTTAATCAACTGTTCCTCTTGTCAGACATAGCTTAGAGGAGTGAAATTGCCCTACAAAGCTTTACCAGGCCAGGTTTCTCAGTCCTAAGATGACACAGGCATCAGAGGGAGAGGATGAACAGATGTTTTAACACGGATGAGTGACTGACAGTGCCTCTGAAATAGTCATGGTTATATAATTTGGTCAGAAAACAATGGTAGACTGGTGATTTTGGGTCTCTTCTTGTCCATAATGAATGCATTGGCCACCCATTCTGCCATTCTCTGCAGAGAGAAGATTCTTAGTCAGGCACAAGAAGTATGACACTGATTATGTGGATGACAATGATTATATTTATTGCTCACACAGTATATCTAAATATTGTCAATGCAGTATATAATACAAGCAAGTCTAAAGGATTATACTATAAACAGGTTTAGCTAGAAACATTCAGGTTTACAGTCTTTGGCCTTACAGAATGCAAAGCAAAAAAGCATCCCTTTTGCTACTATAGGTTTTTATCTATATTTTATCCTTATGTGGCTGGATCTTATCGCTTTTACTCACCCATTCTAAACGGAGAGCTCCCTATCTTCGGGCTGGACGTACCCTGCCGGCGTTCTTGCCAGGGACGGGGGAAGGAGGCCATATGGAACTGCTTGCAACTTTGGGAGACCAGTTTGCCCGGGTGGCCCAGTCTCCAGCCGCATTTTATACCCTTTTTCAGGCTGATGTATATTAAAGTCAATCGTAACCATCGCAGCTCCCCCACCTCTGGAATGCATTCATTATGCGAGCAGTCGAGACAGATCCTCCTGCAATTCCCACCCGGTGCTCTTATCTTAGGGCAATTCCCACCTGGTGTTGTTATCTCTGGACAAATCATATTGCCCATCAGAGACAATAGCAAGGAAAAGCGTGTGTGCCTCGTGCAGAGGATGCACGGGAAGTTTCGTGCATCCTCTGACTTTATTTCCTCACCACCACAACTACTTACACTGAAAGCGGTCTTATGGGTTTTACGTGATAAAGTAGTAATAAAAGTCTTTACTCTTGTGCCACTGCAGAAAGGAAGGTTTTAGATCAGCAGAAGGCTTTGTAACATTGGAAATCTGTTTCCTCAAAAAGGGTTATTATGATTCCGTGAAATTGAAAATAGGCTTCTTGATCATGTAATGTACTGTTTTATATCTGTGGTTAAATCAAACAAATTTATGTGATATATAACACACACATGCTCAAGCAGAAGAAAAGAATAAAAATGTCTGTAAACACTGTATTTTTTTGAACTCTTTTTCTTGTTCGGAATTCAAGGAATTAAAAGTGCTCATTGGTTTAATCATCAAAAGACAGGAAAGCTAAAGAATATCATGTTGTGCAAACTAGAGCAAAAAATTACACTTCAGCTGCATTGGCATGAGTTCTTTACCAAAAGATATCAGGCACTAAAGCAGTTATCTGACACCTTCAGAACGTCCACCAAATAGGAAGGTTATTTCAGGATTCTCTTCTCTGTCTGAATCTTTCACTGCAAATATTTCTGCTGATTGAAAAAAAAAAACCCACCAACACCCTTAAATAAAAACAAAAAACTCAAACCAAACAAAAAACTTTCTAATGAAAAATGAAAGAGTAAGATCCTGATGTCCCTGAAAAACTGTGGACTTACTGTTCTTTGTAATGTTTATGATCAAGATTCTTGTGCAAACAGATCTGGTTCCTAACAGGAAGCTTATAAATCATACTCATAATTGCTGTCAAAACTGCAGTGGAGTGCACTGCAAGTTTCGATAATAAAGAATAGAGTCACAGTTCAAACTTGATTACATTTTGGAAATTCATGGTGCTCTTACAAGAATCAGTGGTCTTAAATATCTTCTTC